GGGAGTTGATGCGCCTTAAAATTACCTTTTTATATGCACATTTTATACCCGTTTTTGAGGATATTATGCTTTAATGAAATGTATTTTTTTTGTTATTTGGTTACAGCTATAAGAAAAAGAGTTTAAGAGCAAAAATACATAAAAAAGGAGCAAAATGGGCCAAGTCAAGTTTATTGCCAAAAACAGTTGAGCTGACACTTAGGCGCCAGATGAAAATCGAGGCTGGCTCCTAGGCGCAACATTTTGGCACCTAGGCGCCAGAAACGGTTACACTTATATTCATTGAATTTGGACGAATTTTGAAAAGGTGTCTGAAGCAATCCTTAGTGATTTTCGAAGCTCTATATATTGGGATTAATTATGGACAAAATAGAGGAGTTTTGGAGTTGTTTTGAGAAAGAGAGGATCTCATTTAGAGTGGGCGACCACCTTATTGAGTCTTTGTTAATCATTGTGATTTCTGGAGTATTGTGAGTTTTGTGGAGTCAGAAAAGTCAGGGAACTTCGAATGAGTGCTTGGGGAAACATTTGACTAAGTTTTTATATATTTTCTTTTGTATGTTGCATTTAAGTATGTTTTGTTTTTATATCCCGATGAATTCTGAATAGTTTTCCTCTATCTCCTTGCAATAAGAAGTAATTATGTTGTAGATTTGATTTGTTTAGAACTTCTTTTTATTCCACAAATTTATGATTATATTTTTACCAAATTTTCATTTACTTTGAAAACTGATCATTTTTTTTGTTAAAATTTGTTGAGAAACTTACAGAACCAAAGAGCTAAGATTTTTTTTAACTAATGAGTACGACATTTCACTTAGAAAAGAGTCATGATAATCGCCTGAGAGGGAGTTCAAATAGATAGAGAAATAAGATTTGATGGATGTAGAATTGATGTTTCTAGGGTGATAGACTGGATTCTTTTATCAATTTAGTCTAGAGATTGAAATTAATGGTCACTAGTAGGTCCTATAGAGAGAACACAGTGAGTAATCTAGAGGTGAGAGGCTAGAACCTACCCAACACTCCTATACTTGATGACACAAACTTTAGATTAACTAATGTTCTTTATCCTCGAAAGAGGTAAATAATAAGGTTGCTCCTATTTTTCATAATACATCAGTTAAACTTCTAAACATTTGCATTCCTACACTGATTATGAATTATTTGTAAGGAGACTCTTTATTTATATTGCATTTTCTAAATCTTAGTTATTTTCAAGTCTCTGCATTTACTTTTAATCTGCACTTATAGGGATTAGTAAACTTTATTTCGCACTTGGATTGGTTTCATATTTTCCTAGAATTTATTCTAAAAGTTTCTCTTAGTCACATATATAAAAATTACTCTTTCCTCGTGGTATAGATACTGAGATTCTTAAAAAAAACTCTATATTACTTGAAACGATACGTGTACTTGAGTAGTACCTATAGTGTAAAAAATATTACTTTAATTTTTATAACATTACATTTGTTGCTCTAGCCGTTAAATATAAATTGGTTCAAGTTTTTGACCATATTCTGGAATATAAATATTTGTGTATTTGCGGGTTGGGTCAGGAGTGGACGATCAGATCAATGTGGATGCTATATTGATGAAAAAGAGCTGGTTGGATCAACCAAACCGGTGGCGGTTGATCGGTCGACCCGACATAAAAAAGTCAATCGAATTGTTCGTGCAGTGGCGGTCGATCGTTCGAGTCGACAAAAGTGGACGATCAGGCCGATGTGGACGACCAATTGACAAAAAAGAGCCGGTCAAATCTATCAAACCTCTCACAGTTGATCGATCGTGCTGACAGAGAAGGGTCGATTGAATTGATCGGGCCGGTGATGGATGATCGTTCGAGTCGATGGAAGTGGTCGATCAGATCGATGTGGACGACCGATCGAAGAAAAAGAGTCGACAACCGATCGATCGAGCCGACAAAGAAGGGTCGATTGAATTGATTGGGCCAGTGGCGGCCGATTGTTCGAGTCGACGGAAGTGGTCGATCAGACCGATGTGTACGACCGATCAACAAAAAAGAGCCGGCCGGACCGATCAGCCCTATGGCGGTCAATCAATCTAATCAACAAAAAGGGTTGATTGAATTGATAGGGCTGGAGGCGTCCGATCATTCAAGTCAAAGGAGGTGGTCAGCCAACCGATGTGGATGACTGATCGATGAAATAGAGCCAGTCGGACCCATCAGACCGATGACGATCGATCGGTTGAGCCGACAAAGAAGGGACGATCAAATTGAAAGGGTCATTGGCGGCCGATCGTTTGAGTCTACGGAAGTGGTAGATTGACAAAAAGAGCCGGTCGGACCGATCAGATCGGTGGCGGTCGATCGGTTGAGTGTACAAAGATGGGTCAATCGAATTGATCGGGATCGAACCAATGTGGATGACCGATCAAACCGGTGGTGGTTGATCGGTCGAGGCAAAAAAGAAGGGTAGATCGAATTAATCGGGCTGGTGGCGGCTGATGGTCCGAGTTGAGGGAAGTGGTCGATCAGACCGATGTGAGCTGCTGATCGATAGAGGATAGTTGATTGAATGCGATCAAACCGGTGGAGATCAATTGATCGCATCGTCGGGAAAATGTACTGATTGCACTAATTAAGTGGTTGGCCGATCGATGACGCATGCGAAAATACAATATTTTAATGTAATTTTAAAACTCATGCAATGCACCCTTTATCTTCCCGCTCAACAAATCTCTACAGTAGCCAAGAAGACTTGCAATTCAGGCTGCCTAGGGAGGTGTGCTGGGGTTAAAATCGTAGAAATTGTGCCCCAAAATCATCACCTGGAAGCAGGCCGGTCCCCTGACCCCTGACTCTAGGTCAGGTGCCTCCGTGCCAACAGGGGTGGTGGCGCCTATTTTCCTAGGTCTTGGGAAATGCTGTTTGAGAGCATTATGGGTGCCTAGACGTCCCAGGACTGGCGCCTAGGCGTCAGAAGGTTTGTGCCTGCCTGTCCAAGCCTTTGTTTAGACATTTGGAGCAGTTTTGTGCGCATTGGCACTAGTCTAGCATCGAAACCTCATTTTCATTAGAAACGCCCGACAAAGGATTTTCTTGATCCAAAAGTTATGGGGAATCAAATATGATTGAAATGCGGTCCAATAACTCCAAAAATGGATATTTTTATCAACCTTCCATTAGTGGATTTGTTGCCGACGATTGCTCCATACCATGACGCTGTTAGGGCATTCTAAAACCCAATCTTCCCGGAAACGCGCACAGGATGCCTCGATGGGTTCCTTTGACTGCAAGAGACTACATATGATTATGTTATGGTCTCTAAGCACCGGAATAGATTTCGAAGATGCCTCATGTCTTCGTCCAATTGTAGATTCTTCCGGACAAGGTCAAACCATCGCGGACCTGGTTTCTTGCTCCAAACACTCACACGAGGTGGCTAGATGGATGTCTTAAGCTACAAGATGTTATAAGTGATCAGTGAATCATCCCAAGCCAATCAAGTGGACACCCTGTGACATCAAACGTTGATGCCAACAAGTGTTCTTTCGACAACATGGCGGTCACATTATTATTATTGCTGTGTATGTGGATAATATGATGGTCACTGATGTTGATGAGGGAGATATTACTTAGCTGAAGGCAAGTCCGAGCAAAGAGTTTGAGGTGAAGGATCTGAGACAACTTAGATATTTTTCTGGGATTGAGGTGGCTCGTGGAGTAAAGAGGATTATTCTATCTCAGAGAAAGTTTGTGCTAGAATTGCTATCAGAGATAGACATGCTGAGATGCAAGCCTGCAGTTTTACCAATTGATCAGAAGGAAAAGTTGAGCGCAGATGCAAGAGAGTCAATTGATTGTGAGAGATATCAGAGGTTGGTAGGTCGCCTCATTTATCTTAGTCACACTCATACTGATATATTATTTGCAGTAAGTGCAGTAAGTCGCTACATGCATGATATGAGGAAGGTTTACATGGATACAATGTATCAAATTTTGAAGTACCTGAAGAGTGCACTAGGGAAGATGTTGATCTTCAGGAAAAATGGGTATTTAGGCATTGAGGGCTACTGTGACTCTGATTGGGCTAGCTGTGCTGATGACAGAAGGTCCACATTAGGATACTGCATATTTGTACGAGGCAATTTGGTCCCTTGGAAGAGCAAGAAGCAGTCAGTAGTTGCGAGGTCGATGATGGAGGCAGTGTACAGTACCAAGGCTTTAGGAGTTGTTGAGATGTTATGGTTGTGAGCTCTATTGGTAGAGCCCAAGGTGGACCACGGAGCTCAAATGAAGTTGTGGTGCAACAAGTTAGTAATCAACATTGCCAATAACCCGGTCCGGCATGATAAAATCAAGCATGTGGAGATTGATAAGTTCTTCATCAAGGAGAAGTTGAATAGTGTAGTACTGAAGATGTCATGTTGCTATTAGATAGTAAGTAGCTGATTGACTCACCAAGGGACTTAAACTCATTAGATCTATCTTGGTTTTGTGGCAAGATGAGCTTAGTGAATATTTTTTGCCCATCTTTACCGGTTGTGTTAAGAATTGTATATATTTTAGGGTCCTATTTGTAAATAGGAAAGATAGAAGAAGTCAAGGTTTTCTTTATAAAGAAAGTTGTAAAGCTCCATCTAAACACAAGTCTCATGAATAGAAGTTTTTTTCCAAAGCAATTAATCCTTGAGAAGGTAATAAGAATTGTTTGTATATCAATAAAATTGATTTACTCCTCTGCACACATTCAGTTGCCTATGTTCATGCTGACTATATAGATCCATTTCACATTCTTTTTCCTATAACTGAATATAACCGGCACTTCCATAACATTGGTCGCCAAAGTTCTCAGTTCTAGTTTGTACAACCGAAAATCCATTATATTCCCATGATGTTCTGTTTTTGTAAATTCATTCTGAACGTGAATGTTAATAACACTGAATATACAGTGGCCCCATATGCTTTACGAATTTTGAATTTCAATCTTCTTTGTAATCACAACTTTATATTTTTTGTAAAATATCTTCAGGTAGGTTCTGGAACCATCAATGGAGAGAGTACCAAAGAATCTGTTCAACATATTCAAATTCATAGAAGGTAAGCTAGCTTAGCCTTCAACTGCTCAAGATAATCACTTAATTCTGAGCCTTGTAACCTTTTTTTTTTTTTTTAATTACTAGGGGCATTTACATACATACGACACAAATTTCATGTATATGTAACACGTAAACTTTGATTTTTATATTTACAAGGCCCAAATCATTCTCTTATCACATGAACAATTCCATTATTACTAACTTTTAAAGAGTGAAATGCACCTTTTCTTGTATAATTGCTATAAATGCAAAACAAAAAATGAAGTTTAGGTATTGGATATGCAAATACAAAGGAATTGTGTGGTATGTATGTAAATCTTCCTAATTATTATTATTAACAGTATTGTCCTTGACTGCAGGGCAAAGTTTCTAAGATCCCCCAGGTTACTTGTAAAAAAACACATCACTCTTTCGCCTGCATGTTATTACTAGAAGCCTAAGTCTGAGTTGCCAACCCACTCCTGAAGGCAAAGCATGATCAAATTAAAGGATTTTTGGGGTTTAAAGCTTCCAACTCCTACAACATGGGAGTATTTTTAGTTGTAAATTTTTCCGGCGCCAAGTTGACGAAGTTCTAAACCATTCATCGAGGCGATGAAGATTCGTTCGCCAAGAGTTTGCCAAGTAAAAGGGATGAACTTGTTCATGAAGATCGTCAAGGTAATTTTTTTTTTCTTTTTTTCTTTTTTTTTTTTGATTCCTTCTTCAGTACAGAACACTGATGCCTGCTGTTTTGTAAAAAAAATTATACTTACTGAGGAGCTAAAATGGTTATCAGAAGATAAACCCTCATTCTTGTTGCTGAACCTTCAATCATTGCATCTTGGTAGAACTGATTGTAATTTAATCATATAGTGCTAACAGATGGTTGACCAGAGCTCCCATCAATCCTGTTCTGCACTAGCAAATTATATCCTGTAGTGTTGGTCTGTTTCCATTAAAAGAAATCCCAGATGCGTTATCCTGTATTGGAATATGTAGTCCCCAGTATTGCTAAAATAAGCTTTTGGCTTATAGCCAGAGGCTCATTGAAACGCTTTTAACTAGATTGAATTTTTTTTCCTTTCTTTTTTGCATGAGTAAGTAATGAGTGGGTCTCTCCATAACAAATTGTTTAAAAAACTATCAAATATGACATTTTTTTTCTCATTATTTCGCATGGAACAGCGCAAGGGTTGTAACCGAGTCTAGTTGGTGCTAATTGGCTTGGGCTCAACTCAGATATATAGCTCGTGAGTTGAGCTTGATCAACTAAAAGTGTCGAGCTTAAGTCAGCTCCAACTCAACCTGGTAGCTTGTGAGATGGTTTGTTTAAAGCATATTAGTATAAAATATACTCTAAATTTTTTAAAATTTAAGATATTAATTTTAAATTATTAAAAGCATTTAAAAAAAATGATATTTTATGTATGGTGGGTTTTTTATTATTCATATTAATTGATCATTTTATTATAATGCTAGCTTGAATTAATATTATTTTTTTATTATAGAATTAAACTCGAATTTGAGTTTGAACTTGATCAATTAATTAAGCTCAAGTCGAGGGTGCTTTAGGTTCTGACCACTTTCTTACAACCCAATGTACAAACTTTTGCTTGCTCACCCTATTGTTTTTAGGAGTTTACTATAATATGATGTCAAAAATTTATTTTTCGGCCAAATTTTATGAGATTTTGGTTGGGTTAGCGGATCAATTTAATCTACCTGAAAATAGAACTCATTTGGAAAACTAATTATTTAATTATTTGAATTTTTAATTAATAGCTAATTAAATTGAGTAATAATACTTAGTTGGTATTAATCCATCACAACTCCTAGCTCAGATTTTTAACTTGTTTAAATGAAGATGTTGGATTTGAGTTAATTATACTTTGGTCGTTTTATTTCTATATTTGATTTTGATTTTTTATTAGTCAACTGAAATTGGTATCACCATTTCAACCTGCCCCTGCGCACATATCTGATTTAGGTAAATGGTGCAATGTAAAACTCAAATATATAGAGATTCATATGCATTATCCGAGATGAAACCTATGTACATTTGCTTCATATAAACTAGCGAAGGATTTGTCTCTGTCTGGCCAACTACGCTGGGTTATTAAATGCCCACATGTTTTTGTTGTACGTGTAGATTCTTGGTTTTATAGAGACAAAATGAGGGCCGGCCAAGAGTTAAATAATGATCATGAAGCTCTATTTTATATAGGATAGGAAAGTAATGGTCATAGTTGTTTATTCGTTTTGATTATATGTTTGTTTAACATAAAACATGTGATAGAAATGAAATCTAAACAATCAATTGTGAAGTTCTAGATAAAATAATTTTATTTATATGAAAGTAAAAAAAAAAACTATTTTTGTTACATTTGATTCCACTAATTTTTAAAAAATGATATTAAGTATCATAAAAGCAATTCATTTGTACTTTGATTTATAAATTAGAACAATTTAACATGTTGGAAAAATTTTTTTTTTGTCCAAAAGCAAATGTCAATCACGTGAACGTTAAAGATTTGGTTAGAATAATCTTGGGATTTGTGTCCATGCATGTTTAGGTACATTTATGGAGTTTGATGTTTAATTAGGGGCACCTTTTTCCTCATTATGTACCTTGTGCCAGAAGATGGATTTCCATTTCCGGTCCCAGAGTTGGTGTTGGAGATTGCGTTGGAACAAGCAATATTCTCATTCATGGATGGGTCGTCATTCTACAATCAAATAAAAATATCTTTAGAATATGAACCAAACATAGATTTTCGAACACCCATCGGGATTTACTGCTATAAGGTAATGTTTTTTTTTGGACTTAAGAATGCTGGTGCGATGTACTAACGGGTCATGACAAGGATTTTCGATGAACTCATCCACAACCCGGTCGAGTGTTATGTGGATGACTTAGTCGTTAAGAGCAAACAAAAGAACGAACGTGCGTACGATTTGAGAATTCTTCGAACGATTACGACAATTCAATCTCAAGAAGAATCTTTTAAAGTGCGCCTTTGGTGTCACCTCATGGAAATTCTTAGGATTTGTTATTCGTCATTGTGAGATCAAAATTGACCCTCTTAAGATTGAGGCCATCTTAAATATGCCTCCTTCGAAGAATTTGACTCAACTACAGTCTTTTCATGGAAAATTGACATATATAAGATGTTTCATTTCTAACTTGTCAGGTAGCTGTCAACCACTCATCACATTAACCAGAAATGATGCCAAATTTGTGTGGGACAACAAATGCCAACACACTTTCGAAAACATCAATCAATATTTAATTTCACCTCTTGTTCTACCAGCCCCTATCTCAGAAAGGCCTTTGATTCTCTATATTGTGGCTTTAGACGACTCCCTCGAAGCCTTGCTAGCCCAAGTCAATGAAGAAGGCAAAAAAATGCATTGTACTACCTAAGTCGTCGTCTAATTCCTACTGAAATAAGACATACTGCAATTGAGAAGCATTGCTTGGCTTTGATCTTCGTTGTTCAAAAGCTCAGGCTTTACATGATCTCGAGATTCAATCTTTTGCAATACCTAATGACTCGACCAGCGCTCATCAGAAGATTGGTCAGATGGGCAATGGTATTGCTCCTGTTTGACATAGCTTTTGTAATTCTATGTGTCGTCAAAGGACAAATACTGGCAGATTTCTTAGCAGCACAACCTGATATCGGCAGGGTCCCCTCTCAACGATGGCTTGCCCGACAAACAGATATTGGAGCTCGAAGAGTCTTGCACTCACCATTGAGAAGTATACTTTGATGCAGCTTCATTTGTTTATAAAGACAAAGACATGCAGACAATCATACCTAACAAGACAGGGTAGGATTGGTTTTCATTACTCCAGGCTGAGCGATGATGCCATTCTTTTACCACTTGACAGAGCCTTGCACAAACATTAAAGCTAAGCAGGAAGTGCTTATAACTGGCTTAGAACATACAATCTTAATGAAAATTAAAGACAACGATATCTACATAGATTCTCAGCTCATCATTAACCAAGTTGTTGGAAAATACAAGACTCTGAAACCAAGGCTTGAAAATACTTCCATTATACCATGAAACTGATGGAACATATCCCAAGCGTTACACTTTTTTGAGTTCCGAGGCGAGACAGCATATTAGTAGATGCTTTAACAAAGCTCACAAAGAAGTTCACCTGCTCGAAAGAGGACCATGATCAAATTACTGTGCAAGAGCGAAAAGTTCTCTCCCAAATATATATGGACAACCTTCTTAAAATTGGCACCGACACAGCAGCATCAACTACTAAAAAAGAATAAGAAAAAGATTGGTGAAAACCATTCATTGAATATTTGTAGTCTGGAAAAAAAACCAAAAGATAGTTCTACTGCAAATCAAATCGAACAACAAGTGTTATCCTACATCCTAGTGAACAACGTCCTCTTGCAGGTCTTATGACCGGATGTGGTTGTGGTATTTGAGCAAATCCAAAGTCCGAGACGTCCTGAAAGAATTTCATTCAGGCCTTTGCGGTGCACACCAGTTGGGGCCAAAAATGAATATGAAAATAAAAGAACTTGGATACTATTTGCTGGCAATAATAACATATTTCTTGGAAGTTGCTAAGAGGTGTCATCAGTGTTAGGTGCATGGGGTGATCTTACACCAACCTCCGAACAAGCTACACTCAACAATTGCATCGTGGTCGTTTGAGTGTTGGGGCACATACGTAGTGGGCCTTATATACCCTCCATCATCCCTAGGCCATCGATTTATCATTGCCGCTACATACTACGTTTCCAATTGGCCAGAGGTAGTACCACTCAGAGAAGTCAAAGCAAATCAAGTCCTCCAGTTATACAAGACACAAATTGGCTATAGATTTGGACTCCCTCGAAGGATAATCTCAAATAACGGGACAACCTTCAAGAACACAAAAATAAACAACTTCATTCAGAGACATCGAATATATTATAAATATTCAACAATTTATTACCCCAAAGCTAACGATTTAGCCAAAGCCTTTAACAAGAAATTGGTTCAAATATTGAAAAAGAAATTAACTTGCAACACAAGGCAATGGCATGAGCGGTTGTCAGAAGCTTTGTGGGCTTACCATACCACATACCAAACATCGACACTGACAACATAATTTGCTCTGGTGTACGACTTCGAAGCAGTGCTTCCATTCGAGGTGCAACTTCTCTCTCTCTCAGAGTAGCAGTTGCTAAAAATATAAATGAAGAAGAAAATGCAAAATTAAGGCTCAAAGATCGTGACAGTTTGGAGGGCAAGTGCTTGTAAGCTCAGCAACGCTTGGAATTATATCAAACAAAAATGATACGTGCTTACAAGTTGGTTTGTCCAAGAACATTCCAAATCGATGATTTGGTCTTTATACTTCAAAGACCTATCCTGACCCACCATAAAATAGGCGGGAAATTCAAACCAACATGGGAGTGCCCGTATATTGTCGAAAAGTCATACTCAGAGGGATCCTACCAGCTAGTCAGTTTTCAAGGAGAAATAATTATACCCAACCAATGACAGTATTTGAAAAAATATTACGCAACATGAAAAAGAAAAAATCCCACTTTGTAAACTGGAAACAATTAAAATGAATTAATGAAAAAATAACATGAATAATTTTTTGCTTCTTTTTAATTCTTTTCCACTTGCAAATTGAAATTCTTGCTTTTAGAAAACACTCCTGTTCATTAAATTTATATCTTTGAACCTCTCTTTGTAATTACAAATGAATCTGGAACTAAACAAATGTGAAATTGAAAGTGACAAACAAACCAAAGTTAAGCAAATACATAAGCAAATAAACAATCACCACGACAAACTTGATGGACACACTGACATTTTCCTTATGCTTCATAGGAAAATGTTGGAGCCTAGAATTGTTTTTAATTTTTGTAGTGGTGTGCGCTTGGCTCTGGACCTCAGGTGCGTGCAAAGAGGAGCAAGGATCCATTTTGACTTTGACATAACGCATGTGGAAATACTGTATAATGGCCC